CTACAAGCCGGAAGGTCGCGGGTTCGATTCCCGATGAGGTGGATATTTTCAATTTAACTAATCCCTTCCAGCCGCACTATTCTTGTTGTCCCCTCATATCTGTAAGTTTCGCCGGTGCGTAAGGCTGACAACCTTACTGCCATCTGTGAGCCGATGGTCTAGATATGTGGGATCCTCGACGTTTCACAATCCTATGAGCCTCCACGAACTGTTACAGGGTTAACTCTACTTTTTTATACCATTGTAAATATTTAAACAAAGTGCGAGGGTCTATAATCTGTAAGTCAGTGCAGCGAGACATGTGAAGGTTAATTTTGCAAAAATACATATAACTTTCCGGTTTGTTTGACGACATAATCAATTGCTCAGATTATACAGGGTCAAATGATAGGAGGATTACTGCAAGTGGATATGTTCTGAAACGGATTGATCGCGGCCTTCTTTGAGGCATGATCCCGACACTCTCCTGCAGTCACACAATATCCCGGCCAGGAGAGCCGAGATTTGAGCCAGGAACCTCGCGAACACGAAACGGGATTGCTACCCACTCAACAGTGACGTTTTTTGAAATAATATATTCGCATTTAGAGACATTGAACAAAACAAACAAAACAAACTCCGTGGCCTGTAGTCCGCAAGTGAACTATACCGACCGAATGACCACCGCTTTTTGACGAAGTTAGTGCCAATTTTAGAGGATAGAGGGTATCACGTGGTCAGCGCAAGGAATCCCCACGGCCGTTAATCTCGGTTTACTAGACCGGAGCCACTATTTCCTTGAAGTAGCTCCTCAGTTATCCTCACGAGGCTGATTGGACCCCGTTCCAGACCCACTAATTCTCAGAAAATCTGAGAGCGTCGGATGTCGAACCCGGACCTCTAGATCTGTAGCCAGGAACTCTGACCACTAGACCACAGAGGCGGCAGAGAAATTGAATGTCAGTGCTAAAAAGTTATACAAATAATAAATATAGCATTTGAAAAAAATTTCTTTACTGATGCACGCATTCTCAAGCTTCTAATATTTGATTCGAATAAAGTAGGCCCGGTATTCTTTTATATCAAAATTAAGAAGTAGTTTGTGCCAGATATCGAATCCTGACTTCCTATTAGTTGTGTAAAATACTTTGAATTAATGTATAAGCCCAGATGGAAGGTGACTTCCTGTTTTCCCAATTAGCAAATAGGAAAAACATTTGTTTGACAAAAAAAAGAATGCATCATTTAGCTGTAAGTGAGTTCAGTAAAAACTATACCGCTAAGAAATAATACATTCTAAATTTAACACCTTAAATCTAATTATAGGTATTTTCACAAATAGAATTATCAATTATAACTCCTCATTATCATTTTCATATTTATTCTTAAGGACCCGAAAATAAGGCTACCCTTGAAGAAAGACATCTTCTGGGATGTGGCGCAGTATAGAAATTGTGTTAACCGACGTTTCGGAGGAACGCATCGCGTCCATCTTCAGGGTAGAAGACAAGAAGAAATCCGCTAGCTAACCAGCTAGAGCAGGTGCAACAGCAGGTCGGTTCACACAAGATCTACACGGCGCCACATCCCAGAAGACGGCTTTCTTCATAGTCACCGCCGTGAAAACCTCAAATCTTACATAGGCAGTGATCTAAGAAGCAGTGATATAAAAGCTCTCATATTGGAGCTAATACACTATTTGGCCTTTACAACAAGGCTACCAACATTCCCCCACTTATTCAGTGTACAAGTATGTCTACCATTTGTTTAAACTTTTGGATACAGAAGTGTCCGATTTCATTCAATCCTCTGCTTCGCATTCGAGGAAGGAATATAAATTGGCCTTAGTCTGTCATTAAAGAACACGTTCAAAGCTTTCTTCAGGGTTGTCTACATCTGCAGCTTAGCGACTTCCGCCACGCCCTGAACACTCATATGCCTCAGGGGGTCGTGGGTTCAAGTCCATGAGTTATCTCAAGGTCTCCTTCAGGTAACAGCAACTCTCTCTTGCTCCGCTTTGGGTGTGGTTATTTTTGCTGATTTTGTTTTTCGTCTTAATTCAAATAGAGACTGAACACCTTTTTGCTATATGCCCGTCACTCTGAGCCACGAGGCACATCTATGAATGACTTCGGTGCCTGACCCTGTGCTGCAAATTGGCCTCATCCGGTTTAATATTAGCCGCAGTGCATTTATGTGTTTTGGATGATTTTCACAATAAACGACCGTTATGTCTCCAAATGGAGTAACATCGTGTTTCCTGTAAAATAGGAACTAAATTTACTAATATTAGTGAGATGAAATATTCAAATTAAATCAACAAAGCCTGCGAAAATATAGACCCTATTTTTTTTTTCATTTTCTTTGAAAATTACAGGTGAACTACTTGTGTCTAACGGCTCATCAGCTAAAACTGAACATATCTATGTCAAGATGAACGTAAGAGAGGGAATGAAGGAAGTTTTGCTGAAGCAGAACTTCAGCATGGAAGGAACTCATAAATTTCATTTCATTTCTGCCGGAAGAAACGCCTCTTCAATTTCGGATCAGCGAGTGTACGATGACTAAGGATATTACCTTCAAACTGACCAACGCCAGTTCCCCTCAAATTCCTCACAGTTTATAACTATTAATAATTGAAAGGTACGTGATTAGTTCTATTATACAAATATTTTGTTCTATATTTTCCATTGTCTGACGTTTGTTGGATTCTCACGACGTTTCGAGAAACTCATTTATTTTTATTTTCTTGTAATAGGCTGTCGTAGTATAACAGATTTATTATTACGCCTATTATTTTAATATTAGTGGCTACATTTGAAAACGTGATACGCGACTTTTATTTCATACCTGAATAGGATTTAAAACCTTCTAAGTTTATGAGACAAAGCAAGGCCAAGGCTCGAATCCGACTGTAACACCAATGAACAATGATCCTGTAACTTGCTTTGTGAATATCATGTTGCAAAATGACCGAGATGTATTTATATATCAGTTAATGCAGAACGGATCAATGAACAAAAAATGTTCAAGTACGTTCTTTAAACTTTCGTAATAACAGTAAACATTTTCGAAGAGTGAAACTCCAGTATCTTCTGTCTATAACACAGCGTTGGTCATAAGATAACCTAACCCTGCTCTTTTTTTATCTAAATAAATCGTGAAAAATATTCTATGATTAGAAAAGGCCAGTGATTATATCGGACTGTGACTTCTGCCTGATCATTTGTTATTTTAAAGAACTGCATGTTATGAGCTCTCCCTGTAAGTCTGAGAGTGCTCAACTGCCCAAGGAAACCTCGGCCTGTACGGAATCCAATAGTTAATGTATGTCTCAACCTGCACATTTAAAAATTATTCCGTTTGACTTAATTGTGAACCAATTGAATCCATTTCACACATTCACAACATTTTTCCTCGAAGATTTACGCCAAATTCCCTCATATGACCTCCATCTCTGATTTCATCGGACCAGAATTTTGTACAAGTATGAGGTACATATATTGCCCCATTCATGTAAAATATTCCACCAACCTGTCCATCCCTAATCGTCCTAATGACATTTAGTTAAAGAGTAACCGTTCCTGAAGTAGTCATTTCACTGAGTGATTAATTTATAACTGCAATCTAGTATTAAACACCGTATTCTTCATCTCAGTGGACATAAAGCATAAAAGACTGTTCGCAAATTATGCTGGAATTGTCCTCAATACATATATCGGTCCTCTTGACTATGTTATGAGAGACTCATGTAAGCTTGTAAGCCTTGGTGCTATAATCATAAGGCGCTGATTGCAGAAACTGTAATTATCTCAGCAATGTATTCTTTAACAGGAACTGTTTACTGCAATTGAAGACAGACTTGAATTCCTTCGGAAGCGAATGATCGTGTTTCTATTCAAGGTCCTGAGTTTTGAGTGTCGTCATAATTATTGACCTCGTGATCACAGAGAGAGGCCACGGCAAGCCCCATGCCTGTTCACACCACAAGATTACAAGCCTCAGCATCCTTTTCGTCCAAAGTCACTGCATTTCAGACTGGTCCATTTCTATGGGACAGGGGACACTTGTAGAGTGTTATGCCTAATCGATCTGAACACTCGGAATGCAACATCAGATTACAAATTAATTTGCAAATGTAATGAAAGTAATTATTATTATTAAATATTTCACGTTAAAGGATGAACACAGCAAATTGCTGAGAATGTTTGTACCTAAGAGAGAGGAAATAATGGCACTGAAGGAAGCTACATAAAGAGGAGTTTCAACCTTTTACTCTTCTCCAGATATTATTAGGGATTCAATGAAGGACAACACACATGAGAGAACTCAGAAATGCGTACAAAATTTTGGTCAGGAACATGAAGGTATGAGACCACTTGGAAGACGTAGTCGTAACTGAGAGGATAATATTGAAATGAGAACTGAAGAAATGGTTTCGCAGTTTCAAGATAGGATTCAATGGTGAGCTCTTGTGGATGTGGCAATGAACTTCCGGCTTCCAATAATAACAAGGAATTTCTTAAATCTTTGATCTACCATTGACTTTACGAGAAGGATTATGTTAGTTAGTTAGTTAGTTAACTATTCATTTAGATCGTAAGATCGAAACTTCACTGGAGACTCTGGGAGACCAGGAGGCTTAATGCAATGAAGGAAGAATAAAGACTAAGTCCAGTTACAGGCGTTTGTTAATGGATTGTAGCTTATTCAGCTGATGAATGGATTTTATGCTTTTATGGAACCCGAAGCTGCAGATGCGCATTGGGTTGGAGGCTTTCCTGACCCGGCTCAGTACAGTGTGCATCTTCGTACGTTTCACTAAAATGAACGCTAATCTAAGCCTGGGTTTCATGCAACTATGTTTCTCAATGAAACTTTCTTCTGATTTATTACTTCGTACTGCATATCCTGGACATCTCATCTCCATAAAAATGTTAAGAAAAACGCATCTTACAAACTTTCACGCTGTGTTATTCCTTCCTCCCGTTAGACAGGTAACAATGATTATAACATTAAGATATGTAAAAAAAGGAACAAAAATATTTATTTTAACACAAATACATACACATCAATGGCACACTAGACACTACGTTAGTAAGGATGTTAATTTAGCTTTTGTTGAAACTGTAACTAAAACCATCGGGTGTCCTGTTCAGATTAAGTTTTCCTGGAGGAAAAAATCTATGAGGTGGAGGTGTCGTGGGATTGTACTGGGGGATGGAGTTCTGTTGGGGCTGATAATTATATTGTGGCTGGGGATTGTATTGAGGCTGAGGGTTATACTGTGGCTGAGGGTTGTACTGTGGTTGTGGGGGAGGGTTGTACTGGTGTTGTGGCTGGTACTGTGACGGAGGATTGTACTGGGGTTGAGGCTGGTACTGTGGCTGAGGTGCCACTGGCGCAGGTGCTACGGGCAAATGGGCGCCACTGGCCCGGAACCCGTCCTTGCCCGCTGTGTAAGTGACAGTCCTGCGCTGGCCGCTAGGGTCCACATAGCTGTAAGATCCATGACGGTTACCGTTAACATCTGACTCTTCCTTGAACTCCACGCCGTCTTCCTGAGAGTAGGCTGCACCAAAGGTACCATCCCCGGCCAAGTAACGTTGTTCGCTCAGAATGGCAGCCGTCTGAGGGGAATCACGGTATTGCGCCAATGACAGGACTGCTAGCGCCAACAGCACAACCTGCAGAGGAAGCGTTCGTAAGCTCAGGCTGGGTGTGAGAGCAACTGTCAGCGTTATTCGCGCCTGGTGAAGGCTAGATGCAAGCATAAAGGCATGGGCAATATAATGCTAGCGTCACAACGCCCGGTGCAAAACAATTTTGTAAAGGAAACTTTGCTAACCGATTTATGATTATCAGAATGTTAGTGTGTTCTGGAAGATAAACCAAATTCCAGAAGACCAGCGTAAAGGCGTTACCTAGTTCCAGGGTGACCGAATGATGGAGGTGCCGAATTCATGGCCATGACCTAACCTAATTCCAGAAGAAGTGAGTAATAGCAATAACTGGTTTCAGACGAATCTGGTTGTCATACTGCTAGATCCAAAACAATCTATTCGGGGGAATGCCTAATTCCGTATTAACTTGCTCATGGCTGTGTCTGAGCCTAATCCAGATGAATCCATTGATAACAATACAACCGTTATACTTCACTCGTCTTGAAGGAAATGCGATTTCCTAATTTTAGATTATTGTAAGTTACATTAACCTACTTTTTATTCTTACCTTTGGTTATGTTGTTTATTGTACTGACATTTCATAAGTAATTCAATAGACCAATTTTAATTCCTTCCATCTAAACACTGAATGTGTTACACGAAAGATTATTTGAAAGGAAGGGGTGCCTATTTTAAGGTGCCATTTAATTACTTTTGTAAAAGTTAATGGGAATTGGTTAAGATTAAACCTAAACAAGTACCTTGTAGTCACTCAGATATCTTGTTTAGGAATCTTCATTATTTAAAGATATTAAACATTTTGTATCCCTCTCTATGAGCTATTCATCTAGACACGACACCTTCCACAACGAAATCAACCTACAAGAGAAAGCAAAAACATAAATACGCACGACGCCCATATATCAAATGTAACACGTAATTCTAAAAACCAACACAAGCCCAAAGTTTCAGGTCACGCAAGAGAAGACCTCTTCTGCTGTGATCAAAAACCGACACTATTTAATAACACCATACACGACAACAAATGAATTTAGTGTTTAATATCTTAGCATATAATTTATACGTTGTCATTGAAGAGAAAATGCTTCTGCAGTGATCCAGGAATAAACATCATTTAATAACTTCACAAGAAATTAAATATTTTATTATTTTAATTCTGTTTTATACATACGTTTGCATTAAACTGACAAATAAAACGTATCACCTCCCCAGTTGTAAACACTGGCCAATGTAGGGGGAAATAAAAGCGAAGAAGAGAGAGTAAATATTTTTCACGCGACCCCCACTTCCCGTTGCGCCATCCACGTCACAATATATAAAGTTTCTGCACGAATCCTGGTGACGGAATCAATAATAATTTGAAGAAAGCAGTCTTCTGGGATGTGGCACCATGTAGATGTGGTGTTAACCGACGTTTCGGAGGAACGTATCGCCTCCATTTTCAGGGCAGAAGGAAAAATAAGAAATCCGCAAGCGAAGAGACCGCGAGAACCGCTACAAGCAGTCTGCTATTGCAAGACAGTACATAAGTTGCGTACGCAGGTACATATATCCATAGCTCAGTCAACGCTGTTATTCTTATGTTCATGATATATAAACACTTCTGCGATGTTACTGACTGGACGGAACATCAGATACGTAGTGGACATGTGACATGTCGCAGAAAAAATATGAGATTCTTTAAGAGCAACAACCTTTATGTGAAAAATTAGTATTAGGCTACATAAATCAGAAAACAGCTTCTGATATTATGTAATGTGATATATGCAGTACTCTGAAATTTGTAACAACAGACTTAAAATGCAATATGTGAACATAAGGCCAATGGAGTGTTCAAAACAGCAAGGACACCTTTCAATAAATAAATAAATAAATAAATAAATAAATAAATA